GTGATGTATTTTGGCTTATAGCTTAGTGTGCGATTGTTTACTAAAAAAACTTGGTGCTTTCGTTTAGGCGCAAATTTAACCTTGATATGCAAGTGCGCGCGTGTCAGTCAGTGATTTTTGTTTGCCGGTTTTAGATAATTATTAATTACGTGTATGTTAAGACTGGATTGGAGTTAAGTAGAGTTCATAAAGATAAAAATAATAAGTCAACTTAGTAAATTGGGTACCTACACATTATTTAAATTGATAGTTTTAATTTGGATTTTTTTTAACTGTTGTCTTTTTAATTGATTAGACGAGTTTTGTGTTGGTTTTCAAAATATCGTCAATTAATTGTTTGTGATTGTCGTTAGCTAGTAAAACCAAATCTAAACACAAACTAGTGAATTGGCTAAGTTAGGCACATCTGAAATCGGATATCTAAAAACGGATTTCGAAATCGATTTTGAAATCTGAAATCCGATAAATATCCGTTTGCGTTCAAAACCAAAAACGCCCATGTCTACTCCTGTTAGAACTCCCCCGACCAGGACCCAAGTATACTGGTGGTCGGCGGAGATTGCGAGGCTACGCGAGCTTTGCCAGCAAGCCAGGACGCTCCTCCAGCGCTGTAGACGACGCGTCAGGCGCACTCAAGGAGAGGAGGAGAGGCTGAGGGCAGATTACCAGGCCGCCAAGAAAGCGTTAAAGGAGGAGATACTGGGGTCAAAGGAAAGGGCGTGGCAGGAATTCCTTGCCGACCTCGACAGAGACCCGTGGGGGCGCCCGTATCAGATGGTTAGGGGCAGAATGAAGCAGCAGGCTCCTTCCACCGAGTCCTTCGATCCGGAGCTCCTCGAGAGGGTCGTGTCGGCCTTGTTTCCGGAGTCAGTGCCGGAGATACGACCACTAATGACCCCTCGAGACGTAGCGGACCCGGATCGAGAGCCGCCGCCTATAACAGCGGAGGAGATGGAAAAGGCCTTGGACAGGCTTCGTGGAAAAAGGAAGGCCCCAGGTCCGGACGGCGTACCGGGCCGTGTCCTCCTTCTGGCACTGAGACACATGGGCGAGCATTTAGTCTCAATCATGGACTCGTGCCTGCGGGAGGGCCGGTTTCCGGTCGCATGGAAACGGGGCAAGATCTGCCTCCTCCACAAGAGGGACCGGCCACTTGACTCCCCGTCGGCTTATCGACCCGTGGTCCTGCTGGATGAAATCGGTAAAGTCTTTGAGAGGATTCTCGCAGACCGAATCATCCAGCACTTGGACACCGCGGGTCCTAACCTGGCCGGGAGCCAATTTGGCTTTAGGAGAGGTCGCTCCACAATGGATGCGATCACGGAGGTGAAAAGGGTGTCACAGGAGGCTGTGCGCAAAGGAGAGAGAGTTATTGCGGTGTCCCTTGACATTCAGAACGCATTCAACTCTCTCCCCTTTGAGGTGATCAAGGTGGCCCTACGCTACCATGAGCTGCCCGCATACCTCGTAAAGGTAATCGAAGACTACCTAGAGGAGCGGGTGGTTCTGTATGTTAGGGCGGATGGCGTGCTGGTGGAGAGGAACATGGTCCGCGGTGTTCCACAGGGGTCGGTCCTCGGGCCGCTCTTGTGGAACATGGGCTACGACTGGGTTCTTCGTGGCGTCTTTAGGCCCAGGATAGGGGTAATCTGCTACGCGGACGATACTCTTATCCTGGCCCGAGGGAGGGACTACGGGGAAGCCAGTCGGATGGCCGGGGTGGGGGCGGTCATATTAATGACCAGGATCCGGCGACTAGGGCTTGACGTGGCGGTCTCTAAGACGGAGGCCTTAATTTTCCATGGCCCACAGGCCAGGCCGCCACGTGGGTCTAGAATCTGGGTGGACGATCTACCTGTTCAGCTAAAACCGCACATGAGGTACTTGGGGCTAGAGCTTGATGGTAAGTGGCGGTTTGACCACCACTTCAGGCTTCTGGCCCCGAAGCTGGTTAGTGCGGCGGCGGCTTTGGGCAAGATCATGCCGAATGTGGGTGGCCCCGGTAGCAGTTGCCGGAAACTGTTCGTTGGTGTGATAAGGAGTATGGCCTTGTACGGTGCGCCGGTGTGGGCTGATGCCCTCAGTGTGGTCAACAGAGCAATGCTCAGGAGACCGCAGAGGGTAGTGGCCACCCGTGCAGCACGGGCGTATCGTACGACGTCATACGAGGCGGCGTGTGTTATCGCCGGGATGCCCCCCTGGGACCTGGAAGCGCAAGTGCTTGCGCAAGTGTACCAGGGGAGGGTCTCGGCGATGGCGAGAGGGGAGCGTGCCACTATTGAGGAGGTGGCGCAGGTGCATAGGGAGGCAAGAGAGGTGCTGATGGAGAATTGGCTGGGGCGTCTCGGCAGTCCGACGGCGGGCGTCAGGACGGTTGAGGCGATCCGTCCAGTTCTCAGGGAGTGGGTTTCCAGACGGTCGGGGTCGCTAACCTTTCGTCTGGTGCAGGTGCTTTCCGGGCATGGTTGCTTTGGAAGGTACCTGTATCAGATACAGAGGGAGGCGGACCCCTCGTGCCACGAGTGCGGTGATGCCGTGGACACAGCTCAGCACACCCTGGAGGTGTGCTCGGCGTGGACTCGGCAGCGCGGCACTCTGGTTTCGATCCTGGGAACGGACCTCTCACTGCCCAGCGTGGTCAAGGCCATGCTGGAGAGTGACAGGTCCTGGCAGGCGATGGTGGCTTTTTGCGAAGACACCATTTCGCAGAAGGAGGCTGCGGAGAGAGTCCGCGAGGAACAGGCCCTCGCTGGCTCTCTCCGGAGCAGGAGGGGGGGAAGAAGGAGGAGAAGACCGGCGCATCTCTTGCCACCCTAGCACGGGGGATGGCCTTATTGAAGGCCGCGGGGGGAGAAAAGGTCCTTTTTAGGGCCGGGGGTTGCTGAGTCCCTTTAGGGCTCAGAGCGGGGAAACGGCCCTTTTCAGGGCCAGGGGGTAGGAGCATCACCCCACAGTGATTCTTAGCAATCACTGCTAGTGGCTGGTCGATGCTCAAAAGGCCCTTTTCAGGGCCAAGGGGGGACGAGAGAGGGACGGAGAGAACTACGCTCTCCCTCCCACTCTCATGAGGGCCGCGAGTCTGTCCTGAGGGGGCCAGGCTTGCATTGCACAAGCTCTCTGGATGTTGATGCCCCTCATACTCCGGGGCATGTTCATCGGGGCGGGTCCGCTTGCGGACAATCACCTTGCGGGTGGGCGGACTATTCGGAAACGGATACCGCCACATCACTCGCACTCCCGGTGCGCACTAGGAGGGACCGCGGTCCCTCATAATGCGCGCCGGGTGACCGGTGCAGGAGTATTGTCTAGTTTTTACGGTCGCCCTTGTGGCGGTCGCCTTCTTGGCGAGGTAGGGCCCCGCTTGCTTCTCGGAGCACTTGTGTTCCCTGAAGCGGCGGAGAGGAGTCCCCGATAGCTTCGTCCGCAACCCTCGGTTGGCGAAGTATGCGTAATGCATTTTCTAGACATTAAAAAAAAAAAAAAAAAAAAAAGGGTCCGTCTAATCAAAACTTAAAATGCTAGGAGGGCGATAGATGTGTCTGGGAGTCTATTATGCAATGTAATTTAAAGCAATGATCATCTGAATACTCTTAATCAGGCTGCTTACTTAAAATTCGGGTCACATTTAAGCTCTGTGTTGCTAAAATTTGTAATAACCTTGCATATTCTAACACTTTATCATACATGAAGGCTTAAGGTATTAAAGTTGTAACCACAATATATGGAGCTAAGATTGTGTCCGTAGCTTCATATACCATGAGTGGATTAACACGAGAAAGCTTTTTAGTTTGTAAATCTATTGTGCTTCTAATGTTGGCTAGGGAAGTAATATATTTGAAAGTACTTATTATTTTTATACTGTCAGTATCGTGGAATTATTTCTTTTGTATTTTTTTTATTTTGGTTGTTTTATTTAAGTTTCATTTTTATTTGCCATATTTTATTAATGTTTACAAAATCTAGCGATGACAGAACCTATCTTCTTTTTAGCAAAATCTTTTAAGATATGTAGTTTTTCTAATAGACTTTTGTTGACGTGAGGTACAGTTTTATTTAAAATTTATCTTCGTGTATCACATGATATTTGTATGGTCGATGAGAATTGCTCTCTGTAACTATGCAGAGTATTCAAGAGCTTTCTTTTCATAAAAATTAAATAACTACATTTGTACAATGGAAGCACTGATTCGAACAATAAAAATCAAAAGTGCTATTCAGCAAACCTTTAAATTCGGATATGAAATTCAAATATTGATTGGAGCTGTTAACATTTTAAAATAATTTCTACTTATGGTTAATGCAAAGTGCACGCCGAATTTTACAAAAACAACGTGCTGTTAATTATATTTCCGAATAACAAAGTTCTTTCGTAAAATGAAATGTTTGAGTTTTTAATAACTCGATGAATTTAATTTGTTTCAAATGAGTTTCAAACTGGTTTATTTTGAAATCCGAATAGTACAAGCATATACAGCACTCTGCTATAAGCGTAATATTACAGAGTGCTACGTTATTCTGTTGAATTTTACATTGTCCCTGTTTTCAAATCCAACCATGCTTTTGAGTTTACAGAATGCTAAATTCAAAGTAGTCTAGTAGTACATTGTTATGGAATAGCATTGCTTTGCTAGCAGCAAGTAAGCAATATTACTTAAGGTATGATAATACATAGTAAGTACGTAGCAAATGCGTGAATTTCTACGCGATACAATGGTATCAGATAGCTACGAAACTCCTAACTGTAAATCTTGACTTCTCTGAATGGGCTGATTATTTTACACGATAAAAGCAACGATACAAAGCCGTCACATTTAAATTTGTAATCCAAACAAAATAATCTAGCGGCGACCAAACATTGTCACGCCAATGGCTCGTAACTGAATTAGCAATCTGCACGCGAATACACGATTTTACCAAATTGCTTGAACCAAGTGGCGCGAACAAGGGCATTTGGAATTAGCGATGGCGTTAATTTATTCAATAGCTAGATCAACTTATACCTGTGGGTGTACTCTGGGGCAGCACGGGTGGTGTTGTTTAGGTTTGTTTGCCGGTAGTTGCAGAGTTTCTTGACTAGTACGCCACCGCATCTGGGCCCGTTGGTATCGGTATAACCTGGTAAAAAATCTACGTTTCAGAAGTAAATCTTAAAGTAACTTCTACATAATGCTTAAAATTAGCAAACAGAATACTCAAATGCGGGCATAAAGTCTTTTGGCTTCTTTAAACATTAAGATCGAGTGCAATTTAATGGACCACCATACATTATTGCATTTAATTTATGCAAACTACCAGTTTCATTAGAATTATTAAATGAACTAAAACAATGTCAACAGAACTTCATCCATGAAAAACTCATATGTTCATAGAAATCTGTGCATTAATGATTCAATTATTAGCTTGAATAAAGCTGCTTTGTGGTAGATTATTTAAACTATTATAAGGCTTTTGTTCAAACTACGGCTACAAGATGCTTTATTTACCCTTCATAAAAGGAAAGACTGCTAGCAAAATATCAAAGTTAAAACAACAAAAAGACCAGGTTCCTTAACTATATTCCGAACAAAGGAGTTAACAAAGTTCTTCAGTGAATTTCAGTAGACTGCCAAAGATTGTGCGACGTTGCAAAAGATAACAAATTTTAACAGGTTCTTTATTAAAAGTGGACGCTCTTATCAAATTCTGTGAGAGCATAATGAGGTATTAACACAAAATTTTAGCTTTTTCTACAGGAACAGGGTACTTTCAAATTATCAAGGCGACTTTGATGAACAGTTAAAAATCTTTTTGTATAGGTACGTTAATAGGTATGTACTCGTACATTATTAAATTTAGTTTTTGGTGAACAGGAGAACAAACAATCAATTACTGGGCTGGGTATTTGAAATAACGTGTTAATCTTAACCTATACAGATATGGGGGTCTTCAAGAGCGATAGCTCGATGGCGCAGGTACTTAGCGCAATTGGCCTGCGATCGTGACAGTTAAGCAACTTTCGTAATGGTCGGTCATTGGATGGGAGACCAATAACTTATTATGTCGAGTTCCTCCGTGCTTCGGAAGGCACGTTAGGCGGTTGGTCCCAGCTGCAACTGTAGTCTTTAGCACCCACCAATACGCACTGGGCGCGCGTGGTGGGTCACGGCCCAGTCTCCCTATTCCATCTACCCATAGGGAAGGCCTGTGTAAAATATCAAAAATGCACCCCTACAGTGGGGACATTAATTGGCCGATGACGATAATGATGATGAAATTACATTTCTGAAAACCTTCATGCAGTTAGTTTGAGTATTATTCATTTTAAACTCTTTAGCAGACCTCTCATACCATTACGCAAGCTTACAATAATTATATTATGAATTGTAAGCCTGTTTGTAATAAGAGTTTCGATGTAGCAGGCAACATTCTTGATATGTAGGTCATCACGAGCTTTCCGTACCGTTCACGGAAAGTGTAGTTAATGTAACTGCATTGTGCATATCAATTGGTGCAAATTGGTTCCGTCTCGCCGTAACCGTCCGTTTGCGGGCGGACGATAAGCGAGCTAATAGCTCTATGCGTCACATTGAGGTCGGTCGTTCATGACATAGGGTTATTTGGAACGTTTCAATTTACCCTATCGTTAAACGATACATAGAATTTTGTAGTAAGCATATTTCAGTGGTATCATTTTTGAAGTGAAAACTTCTTTAGCGGCATTGTACAATTTTTTTGTAATGGGTAAGAAATGTTACACTCGCGTAAGGACACGTGACCTGATCGAAAATTCGTAAGACGGATTGAGAGTAGACAGCCGGCGCGGCGTAGGAGAGGAAGTATGCCCCTGCCCTACTAGTACAGTCAATCTGTCGAAAAATAAATCGTTTCAGTGAAAAAAAACCTAAAGGGTAAGTCTTGTTTTTTCTGTTGCCAAATGACGTCAGTAAGCCACCTTGGCGATGGGCATGTTCAACTCGGAGGCGTGTTTTGAAAAACTCAAAAAAAAATATTCTTGTTTTGTATGCATTTTAGAAACTTTTTTTTCGACCATAATTGTAGAGGGCGTTGAGTACTACAATTTATGCCATTGTTGTAATCTCGTACAACAAAAAATGCGCACTGTAGGTCTCAAAAAAAGTTTTTTTCCACTTTTTTTCACCCTGATTTTTTTTTTTCATGATTAAAAAAAAATAGTAAAAACGTACATTGAAATGTGCACTGAAAATGTATACTTGAATTGCCCAAAACTGCTCTATTGGATTCATTCCTGCGCAATTTATAACTTGAAAACGGTAAGTAATACAAAAAAATTGTTTATACAAAAGTTGTTGGTTATTATGTACGGAACAACTTTTCCATTTAAAGTTTTCCATTAAAATGATATTTTCAGGGTGAAAAAAAGTGAAAAAAAACTTTTTTTGAGACTTTAGCGCCACCTACAATGCGCATTTTTTGTTGTACGAGATTGCAACAATGACATAAATTGTAGTACTCAACGCCCTCTACAATTATGGTCGAAAAAAAAGTTTCTTAAATGCATACAAAACAAGAAAAATGCGTTTCCAAAAATTTTTGAGGGTTTTTTTGAGTTTTTCAAAAAAAGCCTACGAGTTGAACATGCCCATCGCCAAGGTGGCTTACTGACGTCATTTGGCAACAGAAAAAACAAGACTTACCCTTTAGGTTTTTTTTTCACCACTCAACCTACAGATTGACTGTAATATACTACGGCGCGGTGAAAATGTATGCCTTTGCCTGCTGTTTCGTTTAGGCGGCGCAGGGCGCTTGCGAGAATGTTCGCGTGTGTTTGTTCGCGAGCAATCAGTTGTCACCATGGATGGTGATGACTTTAGCGCCACCTACAATGCGCATTTTTTGTTGTACGAGATTGCAACAATGACATAAATTGTAGTACTCAACGCCCTCTACAATTATGGTCGAAAAAAAAGTTTCTTAAATGCATACAAAACAAGAAAAATGCGTTTCCAAAAATTTTTGAGGGTTTTTTTGAGTTTTTCAAAAAAAGCCTACGAGTTGAACATGCCCATCGCCAAGGTGGCTTACTGACGTCATTTGGCAACAGAAAAAACAAGACTTACCCTTTAGGTTTTTTTTTCACCACTCAACCTACAGATTGACTGTAATATACTACGGCGCGGTGAAAATGTATGCCTTTGCCTGCTGTTTCGTTTAGGCGGCGCAGGGCGCTTGCGAGAATGTTCGCGTGTGTTTGTTCGCGAGCAATCAGTTGTCACCATGGATGGTGACAACTGATTGCTCGACCGTCTGTGTAGGGGCCACACTGCTGTGTATTCGTAAAATTCGTGTATATAAAGTGTTACTCATAATTAAAGCAATTCGTGCAAAATTATTCCCTAACCATTCCAAAATATCAAAAATGTACAACGTTAATATTCAAGTTTTCACTTCTGCCGGCACTTCCGGAGTGCAACCCGTCGTTTTTTTTTTGTTAATGATTACAGTGGCCTGAGTATTAGAACGATTTTTACAGGACTACAATCATAACAGTTGCCTTTTAATTTGGATTTGATTTGACACGTTATTTTTGGTAACAGCGAGTAACACAAAAAAAAAATACCATTATATTGACCATCATTCAAGTGCTAAGGAAATATTTTTGAATTAAAAAAATAATGTTGTATTCTACATACCGGATTTTCTTAGCCATTCTTCGTTTGAATCTTCTCCAGAGATGAGCAACATATTTTACTATCTCTGCATAGCATGTCGCTGGTTCACTGTTGTTTGTAGATGAAGCTAATGTAGAAGAAGATGTAAAGCGGGCTCGTTCGACTCTCATTCGCTCCATCTCTCTCTTTTTGGTTTCACTAAACTGCGTCGCGATAACGACTAGACAAAGGTTGATCATAAAAAACGAACCGATCTGAAAAAGGTTGATCATACATGTTTCTGATATTGTTAAGGTAATAATTTACATGTACAAAATTTTTTCTTCTAATTAGTCTATATTTTTTATTATATTTAAATATGTTTCAGATAAAAACTAGGTTACATGAATCTGGTCTTTTGTTTACGGCGCTTAATATAATTTACGATAGTGATTCCAACAACTTACCACAATGAGTAGTACAAAATAAATCCAATCCCAGAAACTGTGTGCATCTTGTACATAATACATTATATCAGTCCATCCCTCCAGTGAAATCACCTAAAAAAAGGAAAAGGTATAACCCTCTCGGTCTGCCCGAAAATGTTATCTACAATTTTGAATTATTCAGGAAACCCTCAACGTCGTAAATAAGATAACTTCTAACTTGTGTGTTTGATGTATTATGAGAGTGTTTGAAGGGCGTTTTTGCTGTTCATAAAGTTCAGAAGTAATATTATGTTGCGCGCGACTCGTGTGACCCGGGAAAATACACAGAACTAATATCACCCCGTTTTATGTAAAAGTTGAAAGTCGTTGAAAGCTGTATTTTAGTAAATTAATTAATCGTGTCTATGAATCTGTAATTTTTACGTTACATTTAATGAAAGTACAGGTAGTTCTTGTTGTTAATTTCTTTATAATTTCATTAAAACTAATTTTGTTTAGGTTGTTATCTGAACCTAGATCTTATTGTTATAGTGTCGAACAGGCAGGCTTGACGATAAGTGTTAATTGAATGTGAGCTCAGTTAGTGGTTGGAGCAAAACAACTATTTTTTAGATAAAAAAATACTTAATCGAATATTTTATATTAAAATATATCACAACAAAGAGTTTCGAAACCGAGTATAACAAGAATTTGATCGGATTAGAGAAAAACAATATGACTTACCAAAAATATCGCAACCCAAGCGAGACCAATGTTGTCGAAAGATATTGTTCCTTGAAATGGATTTGATCCTCTTTGTGTGCAATTCGTATAATATTGGTTCCAGTTGACGCAAGACGTATTGGTTGGAGTGTTGTAGGAATAAGGCTTAGCAGTCTCGTTGCAGACCAGTGGTCCATATCGGTAAGGTGGGAAATCACCGCACTGGTGCATTCCACTGTCTTCTGGAGTTGTACATATGTAGTCCAACTCTTTCGAGAATTCGTAGTAGAAGGATATGCTGCATCAAAACAATTCCAATTCTAAACTAAATTCTTATAAACATTAATTAACAAACATATTTAATACCAAACGATCTACGCAATTCTGAAGTATTTCTTACACATTACTATGAAATAATTGGCATAATTATTTCTTGTGATGAAAATGTGAATATTTGGTGATAAATTACGTTTGGTAAGCCAAGACCAGAAAAATAGATAATAGTTCTTATGACAGTAACTCTTGAGAGTTTGACAAGTGACCATAAGTTGGAGTGGAGTTTTCTACTATCTTTCACTGATATAAAGTTGGTAAGTTCTTGAACTCTTTATCTACCGAATATGAGGGCATATTTTATGATATTTGCATAAATAAGTAGGTATATACGAAATTCGAAACAAACACATTGTAAGGTTTAATAACGCTAATGATTTGATATTTAATTTAGCAGTCATCTAAAAATATGCATTCCTGGATATAACATACAGACATGCAGATACGATCATACGACTAAATCTAAATCATGCTAAGAATGCTGAAATGAAAATGAGGACTATCATAACTCAATAAGAACTTAATTTTGTCATGTAGTTATTAAAGTAGTACATACATAGAAATTACTGTTAAGTGTCAATCAAACGACAAGATTAATGCGGACTTACAGGTCTTTATGGTTAATGTCAAATCCTGTAAGAAGCGGTACGTGGTAGCCCACATCATTTAAGTACGACCGTAACGGCCCTTGTACTCTTGATGATGGTAATAAAGATTTTATTGCAGCGTTCAACTTTGCTCTACAAGACTACATAATGGTTTCAAGAGAACCATCGGTGTCCCCATCTAAATCTTTACATTAAATGTTTAAGATAAATCAAGACATTAATCATCTATTGATATATGAAATAGATGTTATGTCTCATGAATGAGCTTAAATAAAAAATAATGATTTCATGTTCATTAGCTGACGTTATGAATGATATTGTTCGTGTAAAATTCAAGTGGTACCGCGCTGTTGTCTGAGACAAAAATGGTAATGGTTCCTAGGTGTAAATGCATAAGGTTCATGTTAGGTCTAAATTTTGGTTGTGCATAGCTGAGAATATTTAAAATGTTCATAGGTACTATGTATATGAAAACGGAAGTGTAATAAGGCATGTTTTACAGGAAGTAGATAGAACTATTTTGTCTTGTTCGGTCAGGTACAAACTGGCAGTTAATAAACAAAGCAATAATCTATGTACTGTGTCTAATGTATTTTTAAGTTTTGAAGTCTTAAACTTGAGTAAAACTGCCAGTTCGTGAAGGGAAGCAAGTACAACAGCACATCTGGACGGCAGATGTGTGAAGGTACACGATACAACAGTTTTCAATGTCCTCGATAGAAACACATTAATTTTGATCGCAAATTCTTACGAGTTCAGTCTGACGCGCACTCTGTACCATTCGGACAGGTCTCTGGAAAACAAATTTAGGTAGCGGTGATGGGTGTTATGTACCTAAAGTTATACAAACCTGCAACCAGAGTATGTGATATTAGAATGTCATTTTTCTATATGTTGGCTATTCAACTCTATCACATTCTCCGGTGTACAGTATAGGATACAGTTTTTTGTTCAAAATCTAATATGTAGGGTTGGTAACTACATTGATATCATTAATCATGTTGGCTATGATGATGAAGCTACTTTGTACTATGACTGGTTTGCAATGTTCCACAATATCAGTAATAATGTAGCAGTAATTTGAAACAGTTCTGTTATTTTATTGATACTATCATTATTGATGATTTCGCTACATCATGATGATTAATTCATGCGTGTACCTATTATTATTCATGTGAGTGTTGACAGAATGCAATATTTACATGGTGTTAGTTAATGTTAATTTGATAATAAGCTGATCAAAACTTACATGCGGCTTTTCAAATGTTAATAACAGTGACAGAGACAATATGCAAAATTAAACATATAATGTAGAATCAAATGACAGAGCAGCCACAAATGTGCTCGTAGGATGTAAGCGTTAAATATTGCATGCAGTCAACGTTAGCAGTGGGACGTGCTGCTAAGACGAGCGCTGTCGAGCAAATGGAATAAAATGAAAAAGTTATTTTAACTGCCATTTCATCCACGAAACTTTTGAAATATCCAGCCAATGTTTCGACCATTCAACTTAAATTCTTTATTTATTCAGTACTAATTAACGCTTACTTCTATTATGAGCTATTTTCCAGGGCAAAATGAGTTAAGTTATTATTCATTTTGCCTCTGTGAATTTGTGAATGATGATTTAATTGGATAACATACTTGGGTCGGGGAACGTTCGGAGGCAGGACTAGTTCGCAGCGTTGCCGAAGTATTCCTTCCCAGAGTTGGACACCGACGATCCCAAATATGAAGAAAACGAAGAAACAGAGCAGAAGAACATTACCCAGCATTGGTAATGTGTCGAGAAGAAGCATCACTAAAATTCGCATGCCTGAAACAAAAGAATGGTTTTGATGAGTTCCATTGATGCATTTTAATATTATGTTTCTGTTATATAATAAGGTTAAAATTATATTTTCGATAATGTGTTTTCATTACCATAACATTAAACCTTGAAATATTCTAAGAGCTAATTGCATCAACATTTTTTCGAAGGTTTATTCGTTCTTTATAGAAATTTATAATACCGTATGTGAGCACGGACCATAAGGTGAACTGAGGGAACAATTTTAGTAGAACATTAATAAGTGTAAATAAAAATATTATAAGCTATCTATTTATTTATTTCTGTACATATATTATTTATGTATCTTCTATAATTTTGATCAGTCTTCACACTTCGATTTTTATAAAGCTATCTATTATTATAAGTATTATGGCCAAGTATTGAAATAAGCTATTAAGTTTCAAATTGTAAATGGGGCCTACAAATTGTCTAAATAACATTTCTGTTTTCGTCAATATTTCATTAAATAAATTACTCTGTAATCCCAAAGAGCTTTCGTGCAGCAAATTGCCTCTAAAATTACAGGAAACATGAAAACGAACGATAAGTCTAGAGATGGTAACAAACGAAAATTTGATTGGCTAATTGAGGGCTGTTTATTCATTACTCGATGCAAATAAACCATTTTGTTTTTTTTGTCATGTGATTTTTGTGATGTGAGCTAAGCTAAGCGAAAATTAAATCATAAATTATTTTTTACTGCAATTGATGTATCCAATCGTACCCAAATGTTGTATTATTTAGAAACATAGTGTGATACCAGCTTGCCGATCTATTCACTATGATTATTAGAAGTGTAACAATTAATTAGTAAGGGGTCATTTGAATCCACATCGAATCCCAAACTTTATAAGCCATAAATCAATTAAATGGGACATTATGCGTTTTCGACAAAAGCGTCTGTTTCGTGAAATATGGGCAAAATTATAGGACTGCGTTTAATTTTTAACGATTTTCAATTGTTATTACAGTTTTTATCTTTTTCCCTATAAGACACCTAAGAATACTAATTTGGAAAAAAAACACGCTGTTCATTATATTTTGATAAAATTGTTTTGTATATATAATAAAATTAAGACCGGCGCCCAGACCCCATGAATTAAAAGTCAACAATGCAGCGGTCTACAACACATGCTTATTGGTGAGTAAATCAAAATGTGTGTTTCAATTTAGCGATATAAAAACGCTCGCGGGAGCAATAAATTGCGGGCGAGGCAAATTAGTGCCGATGTATGTCTAACCGCGGCGGCGTGTGGCCCGATTTAATTTGCGGCTCGGTTGCATTGTGTTGTGCCAGTTGTTCGCGAGACCCATATGGGGTTTCTGTGTGACGCTGAGGGTGGTTTCTATTTAAATATTACGACTAGGTAGTGTGTTGCGGTGTAATTAAGATGCCTTTAGAAGTGAGACCAGTTATTAAGAATGTATCCAATTCATATGTATTTAATTAATAATTCTTTGTATTATTTTTCTGATGCCACTTTAAGGGTATTCCGTTAAATATATCCGATTCCGTTGCATCCGTCATACGTAGTACATATAATGTTGGTTTATAAAGCAGTTATTGCATAAATACTTATAAGGTATTCATTTGATCCAAACTTTTGTACATTGCCAATGCAATAATATATTTTTTTTATTATGTATGCTGTTGGTCGCAGATGACCTATACAGCGTCAACGATTTGGGGACGGCGTGATCCTAAGGGGACCTCAAGCCGAGAATTGGCGACTGCCTATAGAGGTATTCCAGGTATATATTAACTCTTGGTTTTGCTTTAGAATTAAAGACTTTAGTTTTTTGATCATTATAATGTAGAAAGTCTAATCAACATCCAGCAAGTTGTAATATCAATATTGCTCAGATATAATTTTATATAAGGTGAGTTTGACTTTGTATTGTCCCAGTTGGAAATTGGATAGATCTATGTGCTAGAACGCTTTTGTTTAAACACGGCAAACTCCTAAGTTTAGCCGGTCGGGAACCGTCTTAGTCGTACCGGAACGATAACTTGCGAACTGCGACGACACTGCCACGATGAATGGGACCGAGTTTTGTGTTATTTAGGAACTTTAGTAAAGGGAGGTGGTTAAACAAATGTTGGAAAATGGTAGAAAAACTGGAACTTAACGAATGTGCTAAAGCTTTTTAGGGGTTAGGTAGGGTTAAAAACGAGACCCTTTTACTAAGTCTGATTGTCACCAGGCTGTGTCTCATGAACCATTAAAACGTTCAAAGATGATGTATTTCTTTTGCCGCTATAATAACAAATACTAAAACAGATTAAAATAAATATTTAAGGGGGGCTCCCATACAACATTGTCGTTTAGTGTTCTATATTATTAACGGCAACAAATAGACGCTTGAAATATTTACAGAATATTTGTTTGTATATTCAATAAAAAATTATCATCATCATCAGCCTATTAATATCCCCACTGCTGGGGCACAGGCCTTCCCTATGGATGGAATAGGGAATTGGGCCATGACCACGCGGGCCAAGTGCGGATTGGTGGGTGCTGACGACTGCAGATGCAGCCGGAACCAGCTCGAGATAGTAAGTTTTGGTCACCCATCCAATGACCGACCACTGCGAAAGTCGCTAAATTTCAAAGATCGCAGCCGAATGCGCTAACCAATTGCGCCATCGAGTTCCTCAAAAAATTAAAATTGTAATGGATAAAGGATGTCCCTTTTATATTGAGAAAATTTTCAAAATAGTTTCTATAGTAAAGATAATACGGAACCCTACGTGCGTACTTGATCGGTTTTTTACTTTTTAACCAATTTAAATGTTATCGTTTTACTCGTAAGTAGCATTAATTTCCGTACCGAGTCGCACTCTAAAAAAAATATATTAGCCAGTCGGCACAGGCTAATAGGCTAATAGATTTTTTAAAAGTAATTTTCGGTGTCTAACTTTGTATATTTATAAAGAAATATTTATTTACTACCAACTTTTATAAATTAAGTTTGACGTAAATTAGTTTTGTTTTAGTCGTGCGTGTTTTGTTTTTATTGCCGTTGGCCAGACGGCTACGAGGATAATATTCGGAGTTTATCTAAAATCTTTTATGTTGTTTGTGTATTGTTCGATAGTTGCAAACATAAATCTATTTAATGACGTTGTTTTTATATAGTCAGCTAAATAAATATCGTAGTGTGAAGACAGATAAAAAATAATCGATCGAACACAAATTCAATTTGATATACGCTGATAGGTTATTATCTTATTGTTGAATGTAATCCAGTCCACAGTGCACAATTTATCTAAAAAACACAAATGCAATATTATGTAATGTGCTAAGCTATCCAATTTACATATTCGCGAGTAACTATTCAATGTTTCTACGCACCCAAAGTTATCAAAAATATCTTGATAGTAAAGGATAGTAAATGCTATAGTGCGGTAATACGGTTCTTAAGTTATTTTCAGGCTTTAATTTCGTGCATGACGTAATTGAAGTGTCTTTTGTTTGGAACAGGTATTTTGAAATCAATAGATTTATGGCGCGATTACACTTGGTCGTTATCCCGAATTCGGGTGCACAAAAATATTACTCGAATTCGGGCATCTGAAGCAATATTTACACTGGAATACGGGCTGGAAGGTGTCGGGTAACCAAACCGAAAATTACCCGAATACGGATGCACTCGACTCATTTCCACTTAGCCGTTTACCCGAATTCTATTCGCAATCGTATTCGGGCTAGCGACCATAAGTGTAATTGAGAGTGACTCATTTGTATCGTAAGTAAACGTAATATGATCGTGGTCGTACAAATAAAGAAAAATAATTTAACGCTAACATAACATAACAATCGATCAATTAATTTCAATTAGGTGATGTCTATCTCATCTAAGGTCATATCACACATATCAACCTGGAAGCGGAATGATACCGACTCGCATTTCGGCTGATCTTCGAACAGGCGTCCACTTAACATAAGCTTGTAACGTAAGCGGTGCAGCTCCAGTAGGCTACGGCTAGGTAGCGGACGCCACGCTTACGGTTCGCCGACCGCTGGTTGACGGCTAGGCGACACCAATTCAGTCAGTTTGAATGCGAACGTTAGGCCGCAGGAGGAGCGTGGACGAAGAGACGTAAGCAAGGATACGGAGAGACGTATGCTAGCGCAGTTCCCTTAGTACGAGTTTTGATAGTTTTCGAAAACTATGATTGTCTCGTTTTGTTTCCATACATTTCACACCAACGCCTCTAGCGGAAACTGTAATAAACTTTAATCGGCAGTATAAGTTAATTTCGTTAATAGTTAGACATCCATATTAGACAGTAGTCTGTCCTTTTTTCTCTCTAAGCGTGCTAAAGATGAAAATATGCACCGTGAAGTTCGTATTAACGATGGACGATATCGTTTAAACGATGCTCGTAAAAATTAGCTTGTACTACCATTGATGAAGTAAACTGACAGTTTGTGCGAGCTCACGAAAACTATCATAGTTCTCGTTATTGTAAAACTCGTACTTAGGGTACAGTACGGGAGAGACGTAGGTAGCTACGGCACCGTATATACTTAGTTACATGTCAATATTATGTGTTGTTTCAGAGACTATCATGGCGTTAAGAGCATGCCATACTCTCTAAATCTGTCCATAAATCATATTCCAGCTAATTAAGATCAATACTAGATGACGGCTAGTCTTCAGCTCTGATGAAGTAAAAAAACGTTCGTTTCAGCTGGTAATCCGCACTAGCATCTAGCATGTGTAGGCAGGCACGTAGACATTATTATTATCGGTGTGAAAATATTGCAGTAGCAGAATGAAAAAACTCTATACAGACTTAGTTAAATTTATTTATGAAGTGCTTTAAAGAACAAAAACAATTCGTTCAGTACCATAGAACTGAGAAGCATACAATAATAATTTGAAGAAAAAGTAGCGCGGGTTACAATGACAGATTAACGTTAAAGCATAAAGCAGTAATCCTTACTACCATATTATGTAGGTAGAGACGTAGATAC